AAATGTCTTTTGAGGGTTTTAATTATGTATGCCCGAGGAATAAGGGCAAAAAATTAACGTTTTTTTTTTTATCTCTGCCTGGTTTATCTTCCAAATGCTAAAGAAATCACTCACGTTTGATGAACTTGGTTCAGCACATGAATAAACTGCAGCCTATACGAAATTGCAGCATGTAGGGTTTATCTCTTATATTACGTAACAATAGACCCTACGTACAGAAAGTAAACACATAGAACGGCAAAATAACTTTGATTCATAACACGTCATTTGAAACAATAAAACATTTAGAATAAATATGACGTGTAATATGTTTCGAGGCGCACTCAGCAAATCGTCCTCGGAAAGCGCTAGCTTAACGATTAAAGCCGTCATTGTTATGCAAACCGCAAATCGGGTTTCACGATCAGAATATGCATAGTTATGCAAACGCGATCATTCTATCATTCTCCCCGAATATTAGACCAAGCCTGAATTTTAAAAAAGTTTTCCATCTAAGCGCTCGCTTTTAAAAAAGACTTAGTCGATAGCGCAACTTTTTTTTTGACTCAATCTCGTGGAAGTGTGTCGTTTCAATTTTGCTAGGACGTCGCAAAATTTCGTGATTCGTGAACCTTTCAAACAACCCATATCTTCTACTTTCACAGGAAAAAAGAAAGATAAAATCGATCTTACCTGTGATGTTGCTATAATAGAAAAATTTCTGAAAATTCAGTTTTCTGTAGATAAAAATTATTTGCGCAACGCACTCCCATCTTCTTTGAGATTTATTATTTATATAAAGCAGGCTTCCCTACCAAGGCCCATTAAATGCGATTTCACTGACTGTCGTTAAGTTTTACTTGTATGTTCATATGAAACTCATTGCGAAAAAGGTCTTTTAAAAGGTATCAATACGTATTTTCACGGTCGCAACTTGAGCATAATTTTGAAGGGCGTCACAATACGATGAAGTTCGAGAACCACTGCGTCCCAGTCGATAGCAAAAAATATTTTCTTCTTTTTTTAAATGGTTAATAATCTATATGTAGCAGTTATTTTAAATATAAACGTGCTATTTATAAGTAAACGGAAATTGGTATTCATATTTTGTATAATATAAAATCTCATTATTCCCTATTCCAAAAATAAGCCCTATTGTTATTTTCGAAAGAAAATTGAAGACAGTGTCTTATTTTCGGGAAAACACGGTATTATGATGGTGTATTCACTGGGAATCTTGAAATCTTTGTTTTACACTATTTGTATAATAATTGTATTTTGAATCAAGAGTCTGAAAAAAGTACAATATATATGGTACTGTGTGTAAAATTGGTGTTCTCTTTGCGGCCCCTAAAATTCGTTTCACGGCCTCTTCCAGAGCCGCGGCCCCTAGTTTGGGAAGCCCTGTTATAGACAGATAGACTACCTACCGTGCGTGAGACTAAATAAATTCAAGTACTGTAATAGTTGAATGTTTGAACATCAATATTCAAATTAACCAACAAACTCACTCTTGTGTTACATGTCTGCATGTCTTATGGCAACGTCCAAGGCCTAATGGTTTCATATCAAGAGTGAATATACCACATTAATAACATGTTGATTGTTTATTTAATTAAAAGACTTACAGATATTCCGGTAACGGTACATTTGAGTTCATATCTAAAAATGTCTGACGGGTGGAAACATGATGAGCAGTGGGAAGCTGCGGTGAAGAGTTACGTTAAAGACGGATTAAAAAGACAAGAAATGCTCAATTTTCTAAGAGATAATGCGTGATATGGTTGGAGCTTGAGTACTTTGGATCGATGTCTGCGATATTTCAAAATATATTATATTGACTACCATGTCAATGACAAACCCAGGGAACACCGTTCGGGCGCGTAGGATTATGCATGACAACGTTGGTCCCAAGCCGAAGCAATATTTCTCAAAATAAAAACGCATGACAACGATGGGTCACGAGGCGGCCCATCGTTGTCAACCCTTGTTTTTGTTTTTTTTATTCACGTTTTTTTTTTTTAATTTTTTTTGCATAATTTTTTCTGTTTTATTTTCGTTTTTATTTTTTTTTTTAATGTTTTTTTACAACTATTTTTTTATTTCACTTTTATTTTAAGTTTTTTATTTTATTTTTTATTTTCAATTTTAAGCGTGACAACGGGCCACCATAGAGGTCCCAACTTAGACGGATTTGGTTGTTGACGGTAGCACCAGGCCTGCTCACGCCACAAGTAATACATTCATCATACAATGAGTGTAGAAAAAAGGTGACCGGAGAGAATTGAGAGTAAACGTATTTTCTTACACACAACAACATTAAACTACAGTGCGATATTTCTCGGGAAGCAATTTTAAAATAACTAAAGGCTTTATATAGTTTTCTTGAAAAACTGATTAGAACGATAACCTCTCATTCTTAAATATATGTGAATTGAGTAAACTCGCGATGTTTTGATCACTTTTGGGTTTTCTCCGACTGCGGCTCTTCCACCTCGCAACCTCGGAGCACCCTGGTCTAGCATCATTAAGCATTACATGTGCGTTTGGTATTACCGTATATTGATCATGTACCGACTATGACAAAAGCAAAATATATTTCAGTAGTACCTTGAAGATTTAGAAGGTGAAAATTAGACCACACGGCAATCAAGGTGCTTCTTCAATGTTGCTCACCCACGAAGCTTATATAATATATATCGTCACGCTAATAACCGAATTGCGTAAGTCATTTTTGGCGATTTTGAGTTTTTTATAAAATAGGTATTTATGTAATGCTGCGCACCTGTCTGTTAACTCAGATTTTATTTTAAGAATTCCGAAACCCATAAAAATGGAGATTTAGTATGACATGCACATTTGTGCAATTGTTTCGTCATAATGAATTATCATTGTTACAGCAGGACTATTGTGACGTCACAAAGGCAAAATAACCTCGGCGAAGTATTTTCGAGTTTTTGCATCTCGGATTTTAGCTTAGCGCGTATTAATTTAAATTTACACTACAGTATAGGAGAACGTGCACTTGTGATATTCACTGTCCGAGTCCAATTCACCTTGGTTGGCTTTTATATTGGGTGCATTGCTGTTTTATTCTTTATATTTAATCTTAGTCTTATTTCGGTGGGTGTGCAGAACGTGTTATATTGATGAAATATATATTTTTAAACTTAAAAATAATGTAATTGAAACTGATTAGCTATTTTCTGGATTAGACATTGTAGATACTGAGAATTACATTCGTTTTTGGAATGTTTAGTTTTCAGGACTGGTGCATATAGTAAAGTTGCAAAATTGCGTATGTCCCCAAGTCATAGACACATTTCTGCCTAAGTCACAGTGCGCCATTATGACGTCACTTAACTGCGTCATACAAATTAACTTAAATCCGGCTACGATCAAAAAATTGAACCATGGCAAATTATTGACTCTCAATGGCATAACAATATCATTAGGAAGTTTTTTACGTTTTTCTCAAAATTGCTAAAAATGACTCACGCAATTCGGTTATTAGCGTGACGATATATATACGGTCCAATAGTCTATTCATTCTACTATGTTGTTCCAATGTAAAAAGAGGCTAATTCGTTTGAATACGATGCAAATTATTCATTTCATTATTATTTGAAAAAAATAAAAATAAAATTATAAAACCTTAATATTTATGCAGTGTTTAGAAGCAAGCAGTAAGTCGAATTATTAATGTAAATTATTCCTAATTCGGGAAAAAGAATGCCATCGATAGGGCTGGGAACTTGGAAGTATGCGCCAAACAAGGTTAAAGAAGCCGTTGAGACAGCCATCGATGCTGGATATATATAGGCATATCGATTGTGCATATTTATATGAAAATGAGCACGAAGTTGGCGCAGCTTTAGAAGAAAAGTTAAATCAAAATGTTATAAAACGAGAAGATATTTTTATCACAACGAAGTTATGGAATACCTTCCACAAACCGGCTGACGTGCTACCGGCAATCAACACGTCTCTCAACAATCTTGGATTGAATTATATTGATTTGTATATGATTCATATTCCTTGTGGCTACAAAAGCAGTAGACCGAATGTTTATCACCCAAAATATGAAAATGGGGATCACATATACGACGATACAGGTTAAATGAGCACATGGAAAAGAACTCGAGAAAATCTTGTCTACATGGAAAGTACGATCCATCGGGGTGTCGAATTTTAATGAATATCAGCTGAATAGGATACTAAATGGAGATTCCATTGTGCCGGCAGTAAATCGAGTTGAATGTCATTCATATCTATGTCACGATAAAATGATTGAATTCTGTAAGTCACACAACATCGCTGTTGTTGGATACACTTCTTTTGGATCACCCGATCGTTACTGGGCATCTCCTGATGAACCAAGCTTACCCGACGAGCCGACGATTGTTGACATAGCTAAAAGGTATTTTGATGCTTGGCAACACTTTATTTACCGTTGCAGAAAAACTTCTGCGTATATTATAGCTTATTAATTTTTGATTCCCATAGCTTTATATTGTTTTGGTGGATTTGTCAGTCTACGGTATTACGAAATTTAAAATTTGCGTTAAATTATTCTTCAGTAGTCTGCAAAATTATCGAACTTTATATAACCCTATAACTAACATAAGTAATAAAATCTTTCGCATTTCATTCGTTTACAAACCGAAAATTATGATACATATTTTTAAACATTTTACATATCCAGTAAGATCCCGATATCTGCATTAACTACAGTAGGTTGTTTATGTATTTTCGATATAACATGCGAAATGTTTACTTCAGACATGGAAAAACCACCGCCCAGGTCATCTCGCGGTTTAACATTCAACGTGGTGTGACTGTCATACCGAAAAGTGTGACGCCCTCCAGAATCGAGAGCAATTTCGATATATTCAATTTCACGTTGAACGAGGAAGATATGGATAGCATACTGAAATTGAATCAAAACTGGAGAGCTCTTGATTTAGTTTGGGACAAGAAGCATAAATATTATCCATTCAGAGATAATTACAGCGAATAAACATTGTCGTTTTGGGTATTTCAACGAAACAGCCTTATCTATTTTACGATATTTCATTACTTTATCGTTTATCCGAAGATACGCCTACTAAACGTCTTAATACTATGATAAAACACGTCCCATAAAGTGTGAAGTCTTGACTGTGGCTTGACAAGTTGAACAATCAAGTATAATTTCATGATGTCGACATTCAATACCCAAATACTAAGGGCGAATCAAGATTTAATAGTTGTTTCTCTGTTCGTAGTTTTATCATTAAATTCCTCAGTTATTTTACTTATATTTTATTTATATAGAAATATCGCACACAATTGTTACTCTCCAACTAAATAAATCGAGGTATCTTTGAAAGAGTTGCATTATAACTTGATATTAGCAATATATTGCTCGATACACTTTTGGATCAAATATTATATTTCTGCTTCTTGTTCCGTGGACACTTTTTGAGTTCTCAGTTTGAAATCAGCTAAACCCCATGAAGCAATGGCGAGTATGTAGTACGGAATAAGAATATAAATTTTGGTTTTCACACAAAGGGGAACACTCCATGCAAATCCTATAACTGATCCAATACTAATCATCAGTGTTTGCCCGGAGTAGCCGATTGCTACCGAGTCTTTCTGATGAACTGCTGTGGTTCCTGAGATTGAAAGAATAAAGCGTCTGAATGTTAAGAAATCAAACAGTTCTTCGAACTCAGTCGTGAATAAATTTATTATTTTAATGAACTTGCGCGCTATTTCGGACAATATATTTCTTTGTTCAACTACCTATTCAACACGAAATAACGAATGCATGATAAAAAGTGCCCTTTTCTGTAACCGTTTATAAACCTGATGACGTTGTCAAACTAATAGTGATTGTGTCCTACCATCAGTGAAAACTGGGGCTTTCTACACAATAATAATTATAAAATTAAATAAAATAATAGTTACTTGTTATGCCGTTCATGATCATTGAGAATGTAATTCCAAACATAGCCGCCAGGATATAAATCACAAAGGCTGTAGAAGGAGTCGGATACCACATAAGAGCAACCACAAAATTTACAGCATCAATAACTAGAGCACCAATGAGTAGAATTGCCCGAGTTATCTTCCTAGAAATCCGAGAGAATACAGCAGATGCTAGCGACGCTGCTATTCCGTATGAAACCATTGCGATTCCAACCTTTGGGTGATTCAAAAGTGTTGATCAAGTAAGGCATAGTACTTTGGTAGTAATAATTTCTTGCCATCTGAGTTGTGCGACAATTTACGTTAATGACGATTACATATATAAGTTTTGATTTATGTTGGCACTGGACTTTACAATTTGTGAATACAATAAAAACTTAGTCGGTAGAAGTATTTTCCTGTTGACATTTACGGAAAACGTTTAAATTCTTAATTAAAGCTTCTTGTTTTCAAGACTATACAGGAATCATTGCTATGATTGAATATACTTACTTTTTCCACTCCTAAAGTACAAGACACGTACGCGCGAGTTAACTCCGATGCCGCGTAGGATATCATTAGGCCAGCTGTAATATAAACAGGGAATATGAGCAAAATGGATAACGATGTCCAGCGATGAAATGTGTCCCGCAGTTGAACTTTCAAAGCGTTGAAAAATGACGGCTTTCTGTGACCTGAAAAGCAAATTAGCATACGTATCAAAACTATATTACATGCGATGGTGAGAATTCATTTGTAATCGATTTCTGTTAGAAGAAATAAAAAAATGTACTATCATTTCATAGCTGTTATACCAACTTCCATTTTTTTCGATTTAGCGCATTCTGAATAGCCGTTTAACTCATTTTATAATCGGAAAATTTATCCAGTATTTGTCTCGACCAAAACTAAATATGAAGGCAAAAATAAAATAAACATGGATAATCGAATTATACGAAGTAGTTTATTAAATATTATATAAGTTTGCATATATATTTTTGTTCAATACCTTTAACATATGATGATGGAATTTGTGGCACCAGAATCCCGTGAACTATAACGGCTAGAATATGCATTACACCAAATATAGACAACAGTACTTGAAGGGAAAATCCTTTCGGTTTGAACTTGTCTAATTTTTCGTTTGTTTTGTCGTAAATATAATCCATCTGTGCAAAAATAACAAACGTATTTCCTTGGAATTCAACAGTGTTCACTCAATTAGCGACGTACTGAACAGAATATACTATATTCTGTAGTTATAAAAATATAATTCGTTTCCATAAGAGATAAGGTAGAAGTTATTGTCTGTTTTAGTTTTGCAGTTTTATTACGAAAAAATTACTAAGAAGCAAAATTTCATTCAATCTTGGCTGATAAAATGAATCGCCATTTTAATCACTATGTGTTGTACCTCAGATATAAATAGTTCGAAGAAGGTTTTTCTATATATATATTTCACGCGCAAGCGTAATGACAGTACGGTACACAGCAAGACACTTATTTTCAAAAATCATAATGCCAGATAAAATATTATTATCAAAAATAGTACCTGGCAGTCGTTTGCGACACATTTTGACCAATCCTCGCCCGAGGAATAATTTTTTTGGAATGTTGTATCATTGCTAAAACCATTTTGTCTTCCTTCCTCTTCATGATCAAACAATTCTTTCATTCCGTGCAATATAGCATAAACGAGCGCGCTTCCAAATAGCTGATGTTAAACATCGTATTTTACTCAGTTGTACTTCACTTCTTTTAATTCACGCCAGGACTTGGTATTCTAATTCCTAATGCTGAAGGGTTATTTAGCAACAAAAATGATTAACTTTCACTTCAAAAATTGTCTTCTGGAGAGTTTTCTCATGGTACACTTTTAAAACATAAAATCGTGATTTCTAAATCGGAGGTCGGCAACCTATACGGCTGGCGGAGTGAAATAATCCGCCCGCGACGCTTCACAGAATTATAATAACAAAACAGCTGTTTCAAAAATTATATTTTTACGTAACAGAATTTATTGTAAGGCACATGTAGACTACATTAAATATAACCTAACAAGTTATAATTCACAATTACTCGTTTATTGAGCCTATAATTTAAATATAATTCGACAAATGGCGACAAAACGCAGATAAGTTGATTCTAAGTGCCAAGGGTTCAATGGCGCAGAAAATATTCAAATTTTTTTAGATGCAATGCAATGAAGAAATAAATCTACATTCTATTGAAAAGATGTATCACTCCTTGATTATTATAAAAATTAGTCTCCTGAGGAAAAACTCTATTCAAATTTTACAATCCATGCGCAAAAATTCGCATCGATGTTTTTGGAAGTATACGTATGCGTGCGAACAATTCTTTTCAAAAATGAACATTACTAAGAACAAGCTACGAACTCGGATTAGTGATTCTGATTCCTATATTTAGAAAATGCTTCAATCTTGAATTCATACAGTGTGCCGCCAGATATCGAAAATGTATCAAGCGTGATGCAACAGAAAGTGACACATTAAATGTCATTTGTAAACTTTTTTCTTCAATTAAGACGACTAAGTTGAGTTCACGAATTGTTCTAAAAATTTGACCTTTCAACTTCTGATCTGTGTGAAAAAATTGTGATACATCGGCCATCCGTTCGGTTTTTAACTTTCTAAAAATATGTGCGGCCCGCCAAGACTTGCAAGCCCTAATTTTGGCCCGCGGGCGACAAAAGGTTGTCGACCCCGTTTTAAATAAATATTCACCCGAGATATTCCCATTGCAGCGTAATATTTTCCAAAATATACTCCATGGTAATTTTTCTTCTTTGATATCGGCGAAAGAAGAGACATTTCTTTTGCGACATAAACGCACATAGTTTGCATCGATATAAACATAAGAGATATCCCGATTCCAGTTAGAAATGATGCCGGTATCATTGTATACCAGGCTAAAATAAATATATTTTGAAGAATAAATTGCACTTTTGAACACAAATTGTGACCTCGAATAGTTGGCAAAATTGATATGATTGATATTGTTGTTACTCTTAGGGTTGTTGTCGTAATAAGTCGTGTAGTAGTAAAGAATGGAAAAGTACCCAAACAGACCTCTGCTATATATTAATAATATTCGTAGGTATATATAATTAACTGTAATACGTTACTGCTATTCTGCGGTTACCAAGCTTGTCTATGGAAAACGCCCCATGGAATGGGATAGGACAGCACACATTTATATTTCCCATGGGGCAGGTGGGATACGAAAACCGTATGATTTTCGGGGAAATGATGGTTAAACCTTTCGTTATAGTCTTCGTGTCCATATATTTGAGCATAGCTCTCTTGTTAGTTCTAAAGAGCAAAATATATTCAGCAGCAAAAATATACGTGAAGGGGCTGATGGACACATAGTTATGAATATAAAGTTAACAAAGTCCGTAAATTTTGTTGTTTTGCATGCCTCTTCGTAGTCCTATTTATAGACGCTAAACCTAAATTTAACAATTATTATTAAATTTTATACCAATGAGAATCCCATTGGATGGGATGGGATGGGACAGGCATAATTGCTATGGGATGGGAATGGGACAAAAAAATATGTCCCATGGACAAGCCTGGCGATTACTCACTTGACCTTCGTATCCCTAAATTTGAGTAATAATCTCTTGTTTGTATTTATATGAGTACATACCCAATATCAGATACGATGAAAAAAAAATTAGAATGCATTAGAATAAAAAAAAAAGTAACATCTAGTCAGTAATTAAAAATATTTAATCTTACTTGGATACAAATTAGCAAGTACAAATATAAAAAGATTTATATCGCACGCTACTAACGCAGCTTTAACGCCATAAAAATTAATTATTATTGGCGCCACGAAGATGCTGCAGAATATGCTCGAACCCATCGCTGTCATCAAAGACATACTTCCTAAGCCTTCTTCCGCATTGATGCTGGTTTGTAGATCTCTCAGTGCTGAAAACCACATTAATTTGGTGATACACGTTGATTTAACTAAATAGACTACAAATTGATATATATATATAATATTAATAATATGAAACACCAGACACGAGAAACGAGTCGTTTAGTGAATATTTTGCAGACAAGCAGCATGAGAACAAGGTACTGATCACTACATTTCCAAGGTTATTTTACACGTGATACTTTTTTGCTTCTGTATTTTCAATAATTCCTCCTATCGCCAAGATTGGAAAACTGTGGGTCTATGGGACAAAATATTGCGTAGCCTATATAAAGGAATTCAAATGAAATTAGTTGCCCAACAAGTAGAATTTACAATGCTATGTATCAAAACAACAATATAACATCTAATGGAAAGTAATGAATAACATTTGGCTTAAAATTTTGTGCTTTTTTAGCTTGAATAAAATAAATAAATACCTGTAAATCCACTGATGTCCAACGAAAATCCGATTATGCTAAAAAGAAAGATTCGTCTCAAAAGTTTCTTCCGTTCTTCATTGCTTTTTATTTCAGCTGATTTCAAAGCGACATCTAAAAATGTTTATTCATAGCAAAAACATTTGGTACGCCGCAATATTAGTCCTTCATCTAGATTCTAGATTACACCGAGTTTTTGATTTAATGAAAGAAGCATTGACTGCAGTAGAAGTTTGAAATCCATATAAAAACTTTTAGCACATGTCACTTGGAATATATATATTTATTGTGTAAATCTATCAATGATATATATACCACATTCTGAGACAACCAGGATCGGTGGTATAAGTTAGTTAATGGTATGGTTATGACATATTTTCCTACCGTTTTCTCGTTGTTTCCTTAATTAATAAAAATGTGATCAAGCATACTTTTTATTTAATACTTTATTTGCCACAGTGATACGCATGAGGAAGTAAAATTTAGAAATGTTATACTTGTCACTAGCAATTAACTTAATAGCCTTGATGTGTAGTACATATATGAAGTTTTAGCCATACTTAGAAACACATAGCAGATAGTTGAGAACATAGATTTCTTACCTTCGCGTGATGACGGTTCCATATTACTAGATATTTATTTATTTGCTCACAATATATTGCTGAAAACTCTGATCAAAAATACTCAACAATCAGAGTACCATTACTATTCATTCCAATTCAAACCTTATAAATAATTGTTTACGCTTCACGGTAATTCCACTTTATTTGACACTTGAAATATAAACTTAACCAGTAAATATCCCTTAAGCCGTTTAATCAATTATAAGTGAGCTGTAGAAAAATATTTTCAATGCAATTGACACTCCCACGTAGTCGCCTGAGGTACTGATCAGGCATTCCATCACAACACGCTTGTCACAGCCTTGTTGATGACAACTTTGTAATCTCAGCAAGATTATAACAAAACTTAAAATTCCTTCGGCGGTCGTCTCAAAAGTAGAAATTTTTGCATTTCAACAGTAAATAGTATAGTTTGCGACGCTGTTCCATTTTACTTGGAATATTCATAAGCCTAAAATGGCGATTTAATATTTTTTACAACGCTTATCTGCGCCGCGTCAAAAATGAGTGATTTCAAATGGACAATGTATGGACCAGACAATAACTTGTTTACAATTTATAGATAAAAGAAGTAACATGTGTTTTGTTCCGACGATTATTGATTCCAATGTTTAACTCCGTGTTTTTTAATAATAAACAGAGTATTTTTTTAAATTTCTAGATGGGGTAAAACACTATTATTTTGTTAAAAATCTATGTATAGACAACTAAATCCCTCGTCCGCGAGCAGTATGATTCAAGCAACAATACATTTTTAATTCAATTCTTGGATTTATTGATAAATGATGACGCTATTTTCATGAATCAACAGGTTCTTGTGAAATTTGATGAAATGTGGATTTAATATCGAAAAACGCAATGTTATGTTTTGAAACCTTCAGTGGACTTCCGCCTTTTATTTACACGGTGAAAATTATACCACCAGAAACACCACTGAGCAATGGTAACAAAAATGAAAGCAGATCGAATCAATTATTCGAAGGTGGCATTTTAACATCATGTTTTTCTTTCTTCTGTTTTATGATCTTTGAAGCTTCTATAACTCGATGTTGTTAGCGAAAGTATGAACAATGTAAAATTATCATTTAATTTTACTCTGAACGACGTTTAAAATTCGAAAATACCACCCTAGCAACAAAGGGAACTGTCTAATTGTCTGTTATAGATGGGTGTCACCATTACCATAAAATTTTTTCCATTCCAGCAGATGATTCAATTGAAGGTTGACTCAAATGTAAATTATCAGAAATATTAGCTAACAATTTATTTGCTTTGAAGGCTGTAATAACTTTTGTTCCGAATGCATGCAAAACTCAGCAGCAAATTAATATTTCAACCCGAGTCCTTGTTTTCTTAATTAATACATTTATGTACCTACCTTATTCAGTAGTAACTTTGAGATAACATCCTTCCTGGTTAAACCGTAAATATGGTTAAACTAAGTAAATGATAAAATACAAATAATTCAATTCTTTTCAGTTCTGAATGAAGATTATAAGTCTGTTGCTAAATATTTAGTAACGGTGCTTAAATCGAACTCAACTTCACAGCAAGAAAAAAGAGTTGTGTTGTTAGCATATATATGAGTAAATCACAAACAAGATTGCTCAGAAGGTCATTGATAAATATTAAAACAGTGTAGTTTCAAGAATTGATGCCAAGAAACTCTAAAAGGATTTGAGTATGTTTAAGAGTCATAGCGATCCAAAACGACGTTGATTTTTCAACCAGAAATAAATGATATAATGATGGCAAAAACCTGACAGGATATACCATAGGATCGAATTTTGTCCTGAAGTCCGGCGTGCTAAACCCGATTAAACGCTATCGGGGGCGGGGTTGCGTTTCTCAAATCTCGTATTTTTGTATTAGTGGCGGGAGCTTTCCACAAAACATCCAAGTTTAAAAACTGGTGCTTACAAAGTGGATTATGTGTTCCTGAATCATGACTATCAATTCAATTCAAAATATTTTTTCACTAGACACTTACTACAAAAGTACTGATAGCTGATAGCTAATCGCAGCTTTTCCGGGACAAATTTACAAAATAACCAACTTGTTATTTGCTTATATATAGGCTTACCTAAACTTAGGAAATACAACTAAAAGTTGACAAACAGCCAATTTGTCAAAGTGAAATGGGGTCTGAACTGCTGCGCAACATTCAGCAACGGTGTGGCGCATCGTGCTGAGCGTTAAGAATACGCTTGCCACCGCACCTTTGATTACCCGATGTAGGTTCGCAGATTCGAATCCCGTGGGGGATAATTATGTGCAAGAGTAGCCTACTGCTGAACTCCTCGCCGTCGTAGGGTGGTCCACGTAACCGCTGGTTGGTCACGGCTTCCTCCACTATCAAGTTCATGTATCTTAAACAAATAACTGTTTTTCTTCACTCGAAATAAATATGTGAATCCTATCCATATCCCTGAGAGAGAGAGAGAATTTTTTATTGTTTCGTCAAACCAGAAAACACATACAATATATATATGATAGCAAAATGAGAAAAATTAGGTTTCGGTAGATGACAGGGTGGTAACAAAGCGTTTCCCGCTTAATTATGTAGGCCTACCTCGTCAAAAATATGAATATTGTTAAAACACGGCTAGAATAGACTTTCTTCATATATATTGATCATGGGGCTTCAAGTAATACCGTAATGGAACTTTTCAAAGCAAATATGTAATATCAATTCAACAGTTCATATTGATCAGCCGTTAGGAAATGATCCTGATTGACAGACGCAAGGCGTCGCTGCGGTCTTTTGGTTCCCAAAGTCCATATATACCCTGTTGATTCCGAAGTGCTGCCTACATTTCTTTTGCCGTAGGAGGCCTAGTTCTCCTATTACAGTGGCTAATCTAGATTAATGTTAACGCGATGATTCCTGAAAAAGTTGTTATACTGGATGGGGGTTCACAGTACGGAAAACTTATCGACCGTCGAATGCGTGAATTATCTGTATGTTCAGACCTGAAACCACTGGGAACTCCTGCAGCTGATCTCAAAGATGCGGGCTACAAAGCGATCATTATATCTGGAAGTCCAAGTTCTGTAAGTAAGAAGTTATAAGTAAATTCTACCACAAGTTCACATCACTCATTGTAATGCCTTTTAGCCAAATTATCACAGTATTATCCGATCAGTATGCAGGTATGTGAGTACTCTAGTGCTTAAAATCAGTGCTGTAATGATTTTTGAAATTATACAATATTACAGAATTAGGTTTTCTTGATCAATTTTATTGTGTTACAGTTATACGCAATTTAATCCGATTCACAGTTCAGCAACTAGAACACAATCGGTGTGAGTCTCATGACTACGATATTATGAGCTGTATTCTGATTTTAAACATATTTCCCAATCCTTCAGTATTATTATGTTTAATTGTTACCTGTTTTCTCATTTTATTACTATGTATGATAATAATAATATATATCTACACATACCCCCACTATAGTTTATCGATATAATATAACCGTTCAATATTATCTGAACTTTTGAAGGTGAAGGATGCTGAACCATATCACATTGACCATGCAGTCTTTAGCCTTGGCTTACCAATTCTTGGTGTTTGTTATGGGATGCAATTCATGAATCATGCCCATGGTGGAACAGTGGAGAAAAAAGCAATGAGAGAAGATGGGCAATATGATATTCAAATTGATGTTTCTTGTAAATTATTTACTGGACTGTCAGAAACTGAAGTGAGAACTACATTTTTGTTGTCTCCCCTCTTGTAGAATTTTTCAGCTTTCTTTTGCTTATGAACAAATTTTGCGAAATCTTCAAAGGAAATTTAAATATCGAATTTTTAAAAAAAATTTTTGTTTTTAAATCAATTAGGTTTGAAATGTTTAGTCGGATTATTCGAACTAGTGAATGCTCATAATAGATAGCTTTTGACATCATTGTATTGATCACAGGTGTCATGATAGGAAGTAGCATTTAGACAGGAAATGAATACTTTATCACTTGTCATGTCAAGTAACGAAGAATTATGTATTAAATTAATATAAAATTATTATTGTTCTTTTTATAATGCATTCGCTGGTAATGAAACTATTCAGTGTATTGGGATGTTAAACATGTAATATTTGTTCCCAATATTACTGCACTAAAATATAGGAATTATTTTTCCTAAACAACTCTCAACTTGGTCGCAAAAATTCTGTGACATTGTAAACTGACATTAGCCTGTGACATCTGACACAACCAACCAAATATTGAAGCAGCTTTTCTGAAGCTTAGTGTTAAGGCACACATCTCTAAACACACTCCACATGACTTTCACAGTAATTTTATCTCCAAAGCTTCTTGATCTCCATATTTTTAACAGGAAGGTTTCTATTTAAAAAAAAAAATTGTTTTTTAGTTTAAAATTAGTTTTGTCATAGTGACTGCTGCTCAGACGTTTCGAACGACGATATCAGTTAACATTCTAAACTGCAATTATCTGAGCCGACCGGGCATCAAAAACTATCTTAAAGAGATTAATTGGAATGAATAGTTCCAGGATGTAGTGTGTATCATCTTCTATGAATAGGAAATACTGCTCGTTACCATTGTTTGATGTTAGTTTATTTTGTAGGAAGTTTTATTGACACACGGTGACACTATAGATCAAGTTGCTCCAGGATTCAAAGTAATTGCAAAATCTAACAACCTCGTTGCTGGAATTGCCGATGAATCTCGTGGTTTGTACGGACTTCAATTTCATCCTGAAGTTGAATTGACGAAACATGGAACTCAAATCCTATCTACTTTTTTAACAAAAATTGCAGGTTTGTTTCTAAGAAAATTGTTGTTTGCTTATACCCCATATACAACATAGATTGTGTTCCATCATTCTTGAGATTATAGGGCCTATGGACCTATGGAAGTACTTGGCAGGGGATTTTGATTGTATTGGAATATATCTTTATATATGTTTTGCATTGACTCCAAATTATGAGCCATTCAAAAAAACGACTTTTGCATTCTGAATTTACAAAAGTTGTAACCCATGGCAGGTCGAAAAATTTTTGACTTTGATGCCAAATCCAAACTATCATATCAAAAACCTTACCATACACAAGTCTTCTTCAAATTTCTGTCGGGATGTTCGTAAACTTGAAAAGCTTCTCAGTATAACCCTGTTTCAAATTTTAGTATCAATAAAAACATACCAGACTCCTGTTCCACACCCATAGCCTTGTTATGTGAGTAAATTTTTCAAACTTCATGCATGTGGTCCTTTTTTATAATTCTTCGTGAGTATTGCTTTCTGTTTAAATGAAATCATCATCTGTTACAGGGTTATCTTGTAATTACACTGTGCAAGACAGAGAAGAAGCGTGTATGGAGGAAATTCGTCGGATAGCTGGTACTACTAAAGTTCTTATATTAGTTAGTGGAGGAATTGATTCTGCTGTCGTTGCTGCTCTTTGTTATAAAGCTCTTCCTCATTCACAGGTGAGTAACTTCACACATTTGTTTGAGGATGAATCACAATTATTGTGGCTATTCATCATTATTTGGACATGTTTCCAAAATTTAAATATGCTAGAACTAGTGAACTTTATCATCAATTTTCCTTTATTTATCAGATTGTAGCAATTCATGTTGATAATGGTTTCATGAGAAAAAATGAGTCAACAATGGTGATTGAATCTCTCAGACAAGCTGGTATTAATGCAAAACTTGTCAAAGCTGCTCATACTTTTTATAATTCAAGTATGGAACTCACAGACAACAGAAATGGTGGCAAGGGACGGAAGTAAGTGATAATAAGTCCGTATCACTTGGAATATGTGTGATTTGAAGCGCATTTGTCTAGGATATATTATTAATTGTGATTATTTTATATTTCAAATTACCTATTACTTATCGATCTTAAGATCGGTAAGTATGTTAATGGGTATTTGTCTGTATGTTTGTTTGTCTGTTAGATGAACGTGATATCTCAAGAAGGCGAGGTTGAATCTGCTCCAAAATTTGCATGTGCATTCATCATATCTCGAACCAGAAGCCAATTGATTTTGGATGATTTATGTCGTATAATTAGCTAGTTATTAATTAATTAGTGATGGGACAGCGGTGTCACTATAGAGTCATGAATCGAAACCGCAGTTTCGATCGATAAGTCTTCGGTCTACGACCGATATTCTCGTTTTGTTTTTATTCATATATTGAATATCAGATTTGTAAAACACGTTGGATAATATTCAGAATCAGATCCTTAGTTTTATATTTTTGTACAATATTTGATAGGACGTGGTGAAATGCTTTTTGACCAAGGTCTCAAACCTCCATTATGGTCCGTCAACTATAAGAGTTCAATGTAAGAAATATTGCTTCAAGTAGCTTCCCATATTTTGTTCTATAGTTCAATGTATAATACATGATAGAAATTGAAAAATGATGATCATTACACCGGTAAGAAGTTTATCAAACTGGTTGAGATAATACCAAATACTATCTTGCTTTATTTTTTTTGTTTAAGGTTCACATCCAGAGTTCTATCTCAAACTCTTGATCCAGAAGAAAAACGAAATATAATTGGTGATACTTTTATGAAAATTGTTGACGAAGAAGCTGAAAAAATAGGACTAACCATTGATAAATGCTTTCTTGCTCAAGGTATGAAAGTACTTATTGTATTTTCCTTATAGCTGCATTGGAACCACAAGCTATTGCCACCAGGAATTTCATTACAGATGAACTGTGGTATATTTTGCATATGTCTGAAACTCTTTATTCATATTTTTATACTGCATTCGAATTTTATCTGCAGGTACATTGCGACCAGATTTAATTGAATCGGCATCACGTTTGGCGAGTGATCGGGCAGATGTTATTAAAACACATCATAATGACACTCATCTTGTGAGATTATTGAGAGAACGTGGTAGAATTATTGAACCTTTGAAAGATTTTCACAAGGATGAAGTCAGGAAACTTGGATCTCAACTCGGTTTAGCAGATTCTTTATGTACACGGTACTATGTGTTAATGTTATTATGAATATGCTCGAGGCATACTTAATTCTTTTCATTTAGATCATGAAACATTTTGCATCGAAATAAATTAGAAATAAATGTTTTTTTGTGCTTTATTGTTGTAATATCTGAGTTCTTTTTTATGCGGACTTCTTTCTTCATTCCAATATTGTTTCCATTTTCCATTCCAAGTGTGAAATGAACACAAAGAATACTATTTTGATATTCCAATGAAAATATTTTGATTATCAGTTGGAGCCGCTGATATTCCTCTTATCATAGATAACGAGATTACTAAGAGAGACAAAATAGAAATTTATATCAGGTTTTGATCAAAAATTTTTTTTTTCTCCCAGACATCCATTCCCTGGTCCAGGTCTTGCAATTCGTGTTATTTGTGCAGAAGATCCTTTCATTTGTCCTGATTTTTCACAAACACAAACATTGATTCGACTTATAGTTGATTATAGCAATAGTGTGAAGAAGCCTCATGCTTTATTACAGGTGAGTTGCGACTAGTAAAATGAATTTCAACATATTAAATAGCTATTTTGATCTCATTTTTTCGTAGCGATCTAAATTTGTCCATTGGAGTTTCTGTGTTTTGGGGTGATAGCCTACATATTTTGCTGGGAGTTCATTTGTAAGAATAGTGGACTCATGCTGGTGTGGTACTAGCATTTGGTTTTGCTTGAATACAAATCTAATCTATGCCAGAATATTTTTCTGCTCATATTTATTTTCTTACAAAATTATCTATTCTGGAGGCTAATTTTAGAAAAATAGTATAATATTTTAATGAAATAGAAGGGAGAAACTGTTGAGTAAGATCAGCCAAATTATATTTTCATGGACTCTATAACATCATTTTGTTTTTCACGACATTTTGCTAGCATGTGCATTCTGCCACAAGCGAAGAGGACAGAGAAAATTTAGCCAGATATTCATCACAATATCCAATCAGAGCTATTTTACTGCCAATAAAAACAGTTGGAGTTCAGGTAAAGTAATGTTATGGGGCTTATGGCTATGGAAATTTTATTTGGATGATTTTATGAATTTTATTCCATATAGTACTTTTACTTATATATGGCATTTTTTGGATGGATTTGATTTTTGATGGATTTCGATCATTTTAATCATTCTTAAAGTCGAAGCCTTTGAAATAATAAGATTGCGATTTTTTACCCACACTTTTTTTTAATTGTATTTAAATAAAATTATTCCAAGCATCTACTGGAGATTTTGCACTATAAAAACCCTTCCATACTCAAGGTGGATCTTCGGTCCTATTCTTTAAATCAGGGTGTGCAGCCTGTATCCATAAGGAGAAAATTGTTTGACCCGTGGCGAAGTGCCAATTTTGCATTGTGTGCGGCCCGCGAAACAAGTTTTTAATTTAGTTTAAACTTGTCTGTGCTGGTAATTCCAATCCCTTTGCGTCGCAAAGTCTATACCTGGGTCCAATTTATTATCTATGCCTATGACGTTACGATGCCCTAACAGCTAGCTTGTTCGAAGCGAACAATCCATGTTGTAAGATCAATTAACAAAATTTCTATGGCTGCAACTACTTTGTTAAATATAGGTGTTACTTGCAGTTTCTACCAGTCATTTGTATCTGGTCCTCCTGTATCAAAGGTGATTCAAATAACCGTACATTTGTTTTATTTTAGGGTGATGGTCGAACATATAGTTATGTAGCTGGATTGTCTTCATCTCAACAACCAATCGATTGGAAAATAGTTATGTATTTTGCAAAAATTATACCAAGAATTTGTCACAATATAAATAGAGTTGTTTTCATATTTGGTGAAGCAATAAAGGATCCACTTCAGGTCTGTTACAATTTCTTCTGATATAATTAATTTGTTTTTTCTGTGAGTGATATTCTTTTTTTACTCGATGTTTTCTTGCCTTCACTCTGAACAAGATAATATAAACATCTGCTGATGCTACTATTATTTAGGAAGGAATTTTTTGCACTGTTAATCTAATTTACCTGCAACACTCGCGAATCATGCTTAGAAACCGATAGTTTTTTTCTTCATCTGAATTCTCAGAATATGCGTTTCCAAATAAATATGACCGACTGCAGTCTATGATTACTCCAATATCAGAAAATTGTCAACAATGTGGTAATAATGGAGTCAAAAGCGACCTCTAACATGCTCAAGGCTTCATATAGATTTAGTGTTGTAAGGAATATGTCACTGAATACCAGTATTCTCTGAACTTAGTAATACTATCACAAAACCACTAGGTGGAGGAAATTTACATGAAAAAAATTTTAATTCATAAAATGTTGCTTTTTGAATTTTTTAACTTGAATGCAGATGACTCCAATCACTTTACTGATGTTACTGTCTTTATTTTTCAGGATATAACACCAACTGTTTTGTCATCTCCTGTACTATCGACACTCAGACAATGTGATTTCTTGGCTCACCGAGTTCTTCAAGAAAACTTGCTGCTAGAAAAAGTTGCTCAGGTAATCTATATTCTCATTATTTGATGTAAACGGAAAAAGATTCTCATGAGAAAGATTTTAATTTGAAAGAGAGACTAATCAGATGACCCGTGGTAAAATTTCAGTTTTTTCAATATCATAAGTTTCCAACCTTTTTGATACTTGATACCTCACTTGGCCTATTTTGAACCTCTTTATTCCACCCTTAACCGCTGCAAATAAACCATTTGTGAAAACAGCAACCCGACTTTTGTACAGTTTGAATAGTTCATGAATAAATAATATAATTTATAACCATACCAAATAAGTCTAAAATATAGATACCACTATTTCTAACATTATTATTTAGTATTATTATAATATTTATTTATGAACTATGTGTGAAAAAAAAAGCAATCAAGCCAATCAGACTTTTGTATAGTTTGAATAGTTCATGAATAAGTATTATACTAATACTAAATAAGCCTAACATATCAGTAAATACCTTATTTATGAACTGTGCAAAAATAGCAATTATAATAATACTGAATAAATTTAAAATATTAGTGATACCACTCACAAATGATAAGTAAAATTTCCTTCCAAACATAATAAAATTCTAGTCTAGGAAGAAATTCCTTGTTGGCTGGGAAACGCTGCGATACAAGTTTTGCTATGGTATTTTGAAGGTAGTTCCCCTTTATTTACAGATGCCTGTGGTTCTGGTTCCTTTGCATTTTGATCGAGACATGATGATAAGATCGCCATCTTGTCAGAGATCTGTTGTTTTGCGGCCATTCGTGTCAAATGACTTCATGACAGGCGTTGCTGTTACTCCCGGAATACATCTACCAGAGGAAATTATACTGGAAATGGTAAAGCAACTTGAAAATGTGACTGGAATTTCTCGAGTCATGCTTGATCTGACATCAAAGCCACCAGGCACAACAGAATGGGAATGACATAGGCTCTATAATATCATATACTCAGCGTATTGTTTTTAAATTGTTAAATTTCCAGTTAAATAAGACTTGTTCAGTGTGTGTTCGATGCTGCTTATGTAAGTCGGAAACGGGGCAATTAAAATTTATTTCAATCTTGCATCTGTAAGAAATCAAAATTTCTATGTTTCATCAAAGCACAAACTTCGGTTTGATTATGGATTGAATTGTTTTTCAATTTGATTTCAAAGGGATAAATTGCACTGTAATTTTGAACGCATCCAGATTGTTCTGCGCTGTACCAATAGGATACAGCTCGTAAATTAAAATAATATAGATGAACTTCATTGAATGAGAAATGCTAATGGCCATTTTTCTACATCGCTTAGGCATACCTTCACATCACTTCAGTTACTCTTGGCCAGCACATAACAGATATTAAGTTTTGTATGTGACTAACTAGAACAATTAATTAGAAAACATGTGTTATTCATTTTACGTGAAAAGGGATATCTCTGGTTGATGTTGCTGATTCATGTGGGATTTTCCTTGTGTGGTCAAAGGAATTTGAATGCGAATCGCACTAAGATAGGGCAGATTACGAATTTGTGTATGAATGCCATTGATAGCTAATATTTGTTGCTTTTGTAATATCCAGTAAATTATTAAAGTCATTTGATTTGCTTATGTCCTTTTTTTAATTGTAAGTGAGATGTTTGGTTAGATTGAATCTTGGATGTTGACATCAGACAAAATGTGATGTGCATGGTGACAAAAATGGCTTGACGAAAGCGGTTCTGTAGCTGTAAGTAAGTCGGTCAAGGGTAGGCTTACCAAACGTCCCGCTTTAGGCGGGACAGTCCCGCTTTTTAGCCTCTTGTCCCGACAAGTCAGCCAAAAGTCCCGCTTTTGCGTTCAGCCGGGATGGCTTAAATGTAGACCTATGTAGTAAAATCGGAAACTGTGAAGTTACAGAAGGCGTCCCGCTTTGGAATCAAAAAAATGGATAACCCTAGTTAAAGACAAGTAGAGAAAGAAGGTTAAAGTAAAGGTGAACATGGGATTAGATCAGTAGTTCTCAAACGGCGAGGCGCGCCCTGCAAGGGGGACGTAGACAATTTTTGAGAGGACGTGAAGCTGATTAACAATATAAATATTCCTTAGATTATTTGATCTTGCCCGCCTTATTTTGAATATTTACATTTCCTATTTTGTCAGCCAAAAACAATTATTTACGTTCTGTCCGCGCATTTTCAACGTATTTTTTGAATAAAACATACTTTCGCATTACTATCTGTTATTTCAGTGATCCCCCCACCCCCCTTATAGGAAGTGGAGCCACGTTTTGATTAAACTAAATTATGCGTTTCGTTTATATATATATACACATTGGGATGTTTTTTGTGTAACAAAACAAGCCATAAGTAGCCATTCATACAATGCCAGATGAGGAAGTAACTTCATTAGTCACTATCAGTTGAAAATTACTTGTTGAAAGCCGTGCTTGTTATTTATTTTTCGGGAATTCCATCAGCTAACTATTATTATTATTAATTTTATTACACCACAAACTGCGATGCTAGATGTATCTAAAATCGAGCTTAGAGCCTATTTTGGTGCCTATTTCTCAAAATTTTCTCAGGGCGCTTCAGCACGCCCTGAACCCCAGCCGTGTATTCGTGCACTTTTTGTCGCTCCTATTTCTGGCCCTCCAATTTTATTCTGTCGTGTATTTTGGCTCGCGGTTAATCAACTTGGGAGAACCCTCATGTATATCGTTTCTTAAAAACATATATACCAATTTTTTAACGATACATATAGTTTTATAGCTAATAGCAAATTATTTACCATCCCCTAAAATGAAAAGCCGGGGAACATACTGTGTTATTTGTATCTTATTGTGAGCTAGTTATTTTTGAGGTGGGGCGCGAGACATGCTAAATTATAGAAAGGGGTCGGCGGCTCAGAAAGTTTGAGATCCACTGAATTAGATTGTATTTATGCCTCAAAAAATCAACATTCAAGTTTTTTGACCAAGTTAAAATTATTTAGAGGCTTGAATTTATGAAAATAACGCCGCGGGATGATCCCTCTTCGACGCACAGCGCACACTGTTTCTTGTCTTTCCTGATTCACAAGATTTTGTTTCATCAATTTTCAAATTCTAGTCGTTAGGGTGTCCCGAAATGTTTTAACACAAAGTTGCCAACCCTATGACTACCGCATGGATTCTGGTGTAAATTTCACTCGATTTCAAAGCCCTGGCACTAGAACCGTTCCGATGTGATACGATTTTAAATATATTCCAGTGATGCACGTGATTTAATGGATTAAGTTGAAGCCTTGCTTAATTTTATATTATCGCATTGAACTTTGTTGTTGTTGATATTCACTCCCGTGCTAACCGTCGTCCTAATTTTTTTTTCAATTACCGTAAGTATGATGTGCCTCCAGCGTCCATTTTTTTCAAGTACACTTCGAAGACTTCAAGAGCTAACATTCATTTCGATAATTGTTGTATACATTTTCTCTAGTAGCTCTTCAGTTAACATTTACTTAGTGGCTTTCTTAATGGTTTTGTTATCATAGCCAAATTTTATGTCATTAATGGCTTTTCCGAACGACAAAACCTATTCACGTCTATTGCGTTTCGGCGATGGCTTGCCAATCTGTTATTAGTAGGCTACTGTGTTTTAGTTGGGGCTCTGGGAAAATCGCATGAAAAAATCACCAAGCAAAAAAAAGCAAGCCAAGAAATTGACATATCTTATTCATCATCACTTTATAGAATTGATAAATTTCGAACCTATTGATATTTTCAAAAAAAAAAAATTCGTCTAAACTTTGAAGGTTTTAGCGCGAGTTCAATAAAAACGTCTCTAAAAGCGAAGTGGCAAATTTCACTTCTAAATTCGTACGTGTCACAGATGGTTTTTGCTACTGTGGTTGTAAACAAGTCAAATGACTCAAAAGTTCCGGATTGGAGAAAGAAGCAAGAGATATATTTTCTCTCACACGTGTATTGGGCGGCAGGAGTCCAGACCTGGTCAAATCTGCCCCAACCAAAAGTCTGGTAAATACCATATAGAGAAATACAAAAATTTAACACAATACAAACACGGACATTATGGTCCGTGACAGTAGTTCGCTCGAGTGAAATGATCAGATTTGTGTTTTATATGTACCGGTATTTATATACTCCTTAGATAAATAAATCAGCGAAAGGAAACATTTTATTTTAAACCTCTCTTTTACTACTAAATAAAGAAGCGGCACCATCTATCAAATTCTCTTGATTCATTAACAAAATCCAGTCAGCCGGATATGTCTTCTCAATTCCTCTCTATGCCAATTTGAGGTAGGTTATGCATGAGTGCTATCAGGCTTTTCGATTAGGACCTAACAGAATTTTATATTGAAGCAGATAATATTAACGTTGTCTATCGCTACACAGAGGGTTAATGAGCCCAAATTTTGATGCAATGTGTTACGTCCTGTATAAAAGAAAACATCTCTGCACTAGCGCAGCATTTGGAATATGAGAGAACGCAACAATCACTACAGTCGGGATCTTGGAAAGAATCAAAAAATGATTGGTGAGTAAGTCTTTAATATATATGTTATTGCTATTATGTTTCATAAATATAGTCATTGTAAATCAAATTTTCTTTGAAGCTTTATTATTATATCGCGTTATACAGACATACATAATAGATACATTAAACATACACAGTATTTCATGTTTATAAATATCGAACAATATTGGAATCGGAGAAGTGTGCGGTACTGCAGTGTTATATTTCTGATCTGTTCCTTGCTAGGTCAAATTTGAGGTAATTGGAAATGAAAGTACAATAAAAGTGAGTAAATTATGCCGCATTTTAGAAATGATGAATTGAAATTTCTATCCGAAGTTGGTAGGCGTTCGAAATTATTCGATTTGACGGCAATATGAGTCGAAATTGCTTCGGTTACACTCTAATTTTCGTTGTTATATATATTCGTGTAACGCCATACACATAGTAGCCTACTGCCCAATTTTTGTAGAGTTTGACAAATGAAGATGACGCAAGGACATTCCTTGTCGCATGCTCATCGGCACCAGTAACTAATGTAGCGTTGGTGGCGGTCACGAACGATTAGTCTATTAGTTTTTTAGAACATGAAACATAAGAGTACATACCTTGACAATGTCACCTTGGGACATACAGTGTTTCCCCGAAAATAAGACTGAGTTTCATCAATTTTCTTTCGAAAAATACCACTAGGCCTTATTTTCGGGGGATGTCTTTTACTTTCATTCATCAAAAACAAAATTGATAATTACGAAATTTATGTAAAATTACAAATATATGTAAAATAACACGTTTCCCCTTTCACACGTTTTAAATCAGTGGTTTTTAAACTGGGGAATAACAGGGGGCCGCGAGAGCCGTCAGTGTTTGCGTTATAAGCTAACGTTGTCATTTTGCATTTTCTTCTTCTTGTTGTGAAAAAATGTTTAAAGATTGTTGTTGTCGCTAAGAAAATTATAAAATTTGCACAATGCCGTGGTTACGTGACCGCATTTCAGCGATCTCGTCAGACTACCGGTATAGGCTACTGTAAAGTTTCACATTCATTCTATCAGCAGAAAAATGGCAGCCAAAATACGACAACGACTTATCCTAATTTAGGCCTTCCGTATCAAAAAATGTTGACATTTTTTCCATTACATCTGCACTTTTTGCAGTCGTTTTTAAAAGTAGTGCAAAACAAAAATTCAGTTGGATATCATATTCATGAACATATGTAGCACAAAAAGATGTAGTTGTTAATTCCACTGCAAATAAAATCATTATCATCTTCGTCTCCACATAGGCTACTTATGGGTATGTACATGGGTTTTTCTACACTTGTTCAAATCAAGAAGAAAGCAAGGAACAGATCACATGAAATAAATCAGTAAGCTATTATTTCCATTGCGTACGTGAGAAGTGGCTGCTAGGTTAAATGTTGTCTGAATAGCTCTATTCTATGTTTTCTATTATATTGTGTTTTCGGTTTGAAAATTGTGGGGGTTCGCGGTTACTTAAGAGAATCATATGGGGTTCGCAGTTAGTTAGAGAACCACTGTTTTAGATTAATCACCTAAAACGTGTAGGAGAGATTTCATGCTATCGATTTATTAAGGGGAGCACTTATATTGAAATCATTTTTGCAATTCAGACAAGGTTAGGGTTGCCACACGCCAGATTACACACGCCAGATCCCTAACATATCCAGGATTTTAGTGGTTAAATTTGCGTCAGGGAGAAATGTTAAAAAGTTCTTAAATACCAGGGATTTTCAAATACAGAGAAATCCTGCTACAAATCCTTGAGTTTTCAGATATTGCGCATCCACAAAATCCTATTTTTTCAGAGATATGTCACGTGGAAGCTTTTTTGTACAATACGGATTGCGTCGCATTCAGATACTTGTAATGTCACATATGACCTGAATTGCCAGTATTTCGTAATCGGTATTTTGGTTGCACTACCTATAACTTACTTTATTCCGTGCTAGGAATTAGTCACTAGTGCTAAAGATTAGGCAACAATTTTGCTTCTTTCGCTTTGTTCTTTATTTATTCTATTCTCACGACAAAGTGACGACATCTTGTGCCTTTGGATACATCGTGAATTTATACCATAATATAGGTGTTT